TGTAAAGCTTTCGCAGCGATTGCTCCTCCCTTATGTATGATTTAAGTGTGGGGTTGGACTTAAAAAAGGACTTTTGCTGAAATTGTCTTTACAGGTTTCGCAAAGCTTTTGCGGTGTTTGCCAGTAATGGCTTCAGCTGCGAACAGTTGTCTTTTACCTTGTAAAGCTTTCGCAGCGATTGCTCCTCCCTTATGTATGATTTAAGTGTGGGGTTGGACTTAAAAGAGGACTTTTGCTGAAATTGTCTTTACAGGTTTCGCAAAGCTTTTGCGGTGATTGCCAGTAATGGCTTCTGCTGCGAACAGTTGTCTTTTACCTTGTGAAGCTGTCGCAGCGATTGCGCCTCCCTTATGTATGATCTTTAAAAGGTGAGGGGTTGGATTTAAGAAAGTAAATCCAAGTTTGCAAGTAATAATATAACGTTGTAATTTTCCCTTGTATTTTCAGATATGGAAAGCCATGACAAAGACTGCGTGGATCCCAAGCTGAAAATGAAGAGGGGTGGTTATGCAGAAAAGGAAAGTGAAAGGTATGCCGATGATTGAATGTTTAGTGTTTGTTTTTTTCTTTCTTATCAAGGTACTTAAAGACTTTTCGACTAACAATAAATTTGTATTTACTTTCATGTTGTTTTGTTTTCCCTCCGATTGCTATCAGTGTATTAGCAAATTGTGAAAAAAATCTCAAGCAGTTTGACTGTTCTATTTTGCCTAGCATTGAGTGATAAAAAAAAAACAAATAAAAGATAATGGTAGTAAACTACGATCCTTCCCAAGATTTGAGGTTAGTTTGCCTAATGCCCAACGTCAGACATATTCTAACCACTGGGTCTCCTTTTAAACAATTTGATTTGATATGGTAGAAAAATGGGAGGAACACGCAGCGTTACTCTCTGCCGTCTCTAAAGACTAGGCAAGCAAAAACAGGGCAGAGCCGGAGAAATAGATACAATGACAAATGTTATCTTTTACCCACAGAGATGATGTAGGTGGTGATGGAAAGGAAAATGGGAGAGAGATTAACTTCAGAAATATTAAGGTAAATATATTTGTAGTTACATGCTTAAACGATGTGTCACGAGTCACTTTGCAACCAACTGCTATGGTAAAGTGACAATAGCTGAATGAAGGTTCCAAAGTTTGGGATAAGTGACAAGTACATCATATTCTTTTTCCGCCTATCAAATAAAAATTCACGAAAACAAGCAAATCGCTCATCACCAGCGAAGTGAAAACGATGACATATGTCTGGAAACCTCTTCCTTGGAAAGAACTTAACTCAACACTATTTGCGTTGCTTTCGTTGTTCATGGAATACACTACGTTGAAATAATGTTCGCATTTACCTTACTCTATCTTCAGATGTCAGACGTCGAACAATGGCTACAAAATCATGTGTCAGAAGGAAGCGAAGAAGACGCCATTGTTAGTAAGGAGGAGATGTGGAAAAGTTTCTGTTGTAAATCAGACATAAAGGTGGGAAGAGAATTATTTTTTAATTACCTTGGGTTGGCGCTATCTCGTTTGGAATACAAGAATGTGGTTCCGATTATCAAAAAGTGCCGGCGAGTGGGATACAAGGGGCTAATTTTGTTGAGTGCTCCTGTGAGCGATAAAAGGCGCAATCATGCGATAAAAATGCGTCGGTATCAGTTACACCTCTTGAAGTCAAAGCGCCTGAGAGTTTGAATGAAGAGGTCACCACGGTGTGGCAATCTAACCAGTTAGCCCCTCAAACAAGCATTCAGCGCAAAGCTGTGCAAGAGTGGATGTCTAAATACTACCGCGAAGGAGGAGAGAACGACATCACTACGAAGCAAAACCTGTGGATTCATTACAAAGAAAGCAATGAATTAGATGAGGATCCAAAAGATCATTTTTTTTTCGCACCTAGGTAACGTAATAAGGCACCCCCTTTTGCAAAAGTACGCCAAATTAAGAGGAAAAAGCTTGGTGCTTTCCAGTTCCTAAAGCGGACATTGCCTAGCGATGTTAAGGCACGTACTTGTGAGAAACAGCCATCGTCGACCAGATCAGCTGCATTAGCAGAAGCTGCTAGTGATTTAACCAGCGTCCCTGCTAAAAGAAATTCATTTCAAGTAAAAGAAACAAGCCCTGATCGTTCCAAATCGCATTTCGGTGGTCAGAGGAGTGTGCCTCGTAGTCCCTGTACGATTTTAACCGATTTGGAAAGTGTCCTGAGAGAAATCCTGATGAAACTTATGTGATTTCTTCTGATATTCCTCTTACAAGTGGTGACAGCGAAATTTTTTGAGATTGAAGGAGATTTCAGCTACGACAAAAATGAATTTTCAGGAGGTGAGACAGACATATTCCCTATCGATTCACCAGAGGATATTGCTAGGTGCCCCGACCATTCAGAGGATGGAGATGGCGAAAACGTCAGTCAACCAAGTGAACATGGTGATGCGAGTAGTGAAAGTGATGTAACTGAAATGTCAAGCGGTGCAGAAGAAATTATACCCGTCAACAAGACAGAGGCGTCATCAGACATATTTCATAGGTTCCATAAGAAACTGTCCACTTTGCTTCCTTCGCATCTTCCTGGCAAACCTGCTTCATTTCAGGATTACCTGACAAGCGTCGTTAAAGATCCCGGCAACATAAATGAGGAACGTACAGCCCTTTATTTAGCTTCAGGCTGTGCAAAGACGTACAAGAACTGCATAGTCAGGGCCTTTGTCGCAGCTTCGTTCCCCCCTCTAAAGGTTGGCAGTTTTGCAGCTGAGCAAGTTAAATATACCTTTGAAGGAGACGTCTTCCCACAATTCACTCATATCGAAAAAAGTAACTTCAGCTGCGCCATTTGCATACCTTACCTCAGATGGGCTATAATTAATAGCATACCTCACTCCAAATGTCGAGCCCAATCGGCAAAACCGGATGCAATATTGTCGGGTACTGCGACGTTATGTTTCTCCGGCATGGTCCAGCTCAAAGAACATAGCAGTTCTAGATTGCATTTGGAGGCCGTGGCCTTTTTTCAAAGAGCCCAAGAGGAAGAGCTCCGCTGCGGTAGAAAGAAGGAAGCCAGATTAGCGGGGAAAGAACAAAAGCGTATTTCTGAATATTTTCAAAAACCTTCAGTGAATTTAAACTAGGAAGGACCTCCGAGTTCCAACACCAAGCACACACCAGAAATAAAGTCAAGTGCTGTCATTTATGGGATTCGGAGGTCGTTAAAAATTTTGGAAGTGATTCACAGATTAGAAGAACAACTGCTGAAGGCCTCTTCAAAAAAAGACGCAACAATGGCGGTTTGAAGTGTCATCCACATGAACCAGGTCATGAAAAATGCTCCTCTTACAACGTTTGGAAGGAAATGCACAAAGTAGAGGCTGATGTCCTTAAGGATGAAGCAAATTCAAGCTACAAGTCAGTGTTTATTCCTGTTTTTAAACAGGTGATCATAAATGGAAAACCAGTCCAAATCAATGGAGCAATTAAAAGCCTCGACCCACCCTGTAAAGGGGAGGCGTCATCTCATGGTGAACATCCATACACGTGCACTAATTGTTTCCGTCAACTGAGAGACCTGAAAAACACTTTGCAGCATCGGAGGTCTGGCAGTTTAGATGACAAAGCCAACAGACTGGGATTGAAAGGTTTCAACAAAAGGTACGCAAGGAGAGGAGAGATGATGAATACTCTTGAGAAAGAAACTCAACGAAGGAAATTGGCAGAGACAGAAGTTAAGGAGCTGGTAAGGAAAACACTAAGCCCTAGAGACTGGGAAGAATGTCTACATCAAGCATGCCTTAATAGGGAAGACCAAATGCTGGTAATTAATCTGGTTCGTTTGATGAAGAGTGGAATCTCTGCAAAAAATCCTATGCAGATTCTCATTTTAAAGAATTTAGTGTCAAAGCTTCAAAAAGGAAACAATCATCGTTATGTTGACCTCGTGAAAGACGTAAGCGGGCTATTTAAAAATGAGCTTGGTCCGACTAATTATGCCCTTTTAGCAGATATCGTTGGATTGGCTAAAGAAACGACAGCGTCAAAGCACTCTTCGTCTCAATTGAGGTTGGAGCCTGGCTTAAACATGGATGCAATAGATCTGGCTGCAAACAAATTCAAAGGTTTACCCGTGAACGAAGCAAGCGATGGTGCCCGTTGTCTGAGGTACCTTCACCCACGAAAAGATAAAAACGGCAACGTTGTTTTAATTGGGTCGACCTGGAGTCCTTCTGTGGACAGCTGGAAAGAGGAAGAAATCGTTATACCAAGAAAGGATGCCACTAAGGGCGACTTAGACGACTTTGGAGCGTTGAAAAGGTTAGTAGATGGTCTCATTAAAGGAAATCGGCTAGCCAAGACTGTATCCATTCACAATTTGACGTGTTTGGCAGCACTCGACAAACCTACAGTTATTAATTGCATGTGGCCAATTCAAGACAAAGGTTACAAGGCAGTCCATCTCTTAAAGTACTGGGAAGCAATGAGGAAAGCTTGTTACTTCGACGAATTTGGAGATGTTAGAAAGAGTCCTTTAAATTTGGTTGGTTATTCAACCGACTCAGCCGGGTTTTCATTGTCAGCTGCAATCCATCTGATGAGTCCTTCACACGAGGAAATAAATGAAGGAGTTACTTACCTTGGTCTAGGGCTTGACGACGAGTGCTATTTGGCCCCTTATTACTGGTATCTTCCATCAATTGCCTACCTAGACTATGATCACGAGCAGAGACTATTTCTGAAGAATTTGAAATACCAAACTCGAGATTTGACTTTCTGGGATGACAATGGAAACACAACAAAGCCTGCAACTATCGAACACCTTAAAATCTAAAGCACCGTTGCCAAGAGTTGGGGCTAGATTGCGGATTCAGTAGTGCGGATTTGCTCCTCATTTATTTTTGTGACCAAAACTCAGATGCATGTGAAAGACTATTTACTCCACGGATTGCAGATCTTCTGGAAAAATACGTTCCTGGATCACAAGGTACCGTTTTGTACATAAGGGCGGTGTACTCTCTTTTACAGCCATTCCGAGTTCCAGACTTTGGCTCACCAGAGGACGTTCAAGAATCAATTTCCTATGGCCTCTACATTTTCAGCTTGTGCAGAAAGGTGTTGGAACTCAAGAAACTGCGTCTTCATTCTCAGCCGGGGGCAAAGAATGATACCTCAAAGCGTGGCCACTTTATTACATATGATTGCTATGCTCCAGCAGAAGTTATCTTTTCAGCAGGTACCATCCATCAATTGGCCATGTTTTTACATTTTAAAGGCCTAGGTCCACGCTGGGCATGTCCATACAACTCCGGTACCAAAAGCACAGAACGAATTATCGCAGAATTGCAAGGCAAGACAAATGAATTACAATCCCTGGACTCTCAACCAACATTTGGGGACATGCTCGATAGAAGCACGAAAGTACAGTTCAATATCAATGCGAAACACCGCCTCTCCACAGCTGGTGCAAAGGTATCCTCTTCCCACAAACGAAAACGGCTTGCGTTCGCCTTCAGATCCAGCAAAGGACAAGAGAGCTACGAATACCCTGAAAGGTATTCGGAATTCAAGGCAGCGCAAATCCAAGCTCACAGAAGAGGAGTCAACAAAGCGTGGGCTCTCTTTTCGAAGTACATGCCACAGCAATGCATTGGTCTTTTGAAAGAGAATGACTGCTGGGAGAAACCCTATGTATATAAGAAACCAGAAGGGTGTTTGGTGGTTGACAGTCCGCCAGGAAAAGATCACAATCTCCTTCAAAAGTCGTTTGCGGTGATAAATGAAAATATTGATTCAAAATGCAACGACGACGAACGAGAAGCAGATATTAACATCCCTGAGGAAAGTCAGTACGAAGGACAGTTGCATGCCAATGAAGACATGACCATCAAGCCTGGCTCCGTGACACCCGAGGATCATGGGGATGATAACAGCGGTGGAAAAAGGTGGAAGGTCAGTAAGATAGTTGACGGCAAGGAAACTTACATCCACATCAAGCAGGCCTTAAAACTTCTTCTACCCCGCGAGTACGTATCTCGTTGTCGTCAGAAGAGACACTGGGCATCACAGTACCTCCCAGGAAAGGAGCCCTTGAATCCAAAACATGATATAATAAAGTACTGCAATGTTGCTTTAAAGGTCACCCTCAATGGCACACCAGTATACGACATCGGGCGAGTAGAGGTCATTGAATCGACAAAGGATGGATCGGATGTTGTAAGCTTTGAAAAAAAGAAAGGGAAGCAGTCGGTGCGAGTACGTTGCTCCTTATACACGGAGGACGAAAATGATGTTTATTTCTTTTCTAATGATGTGATTCTTACAAAATGGAAACCACCTTCGGCTATCATTGGGGCAGTAGATTTGCAGCCTGTCACAGATAGTCCCGGAAAGTACAGGCTTCAGTCGGAGTGTAAAGCTCATTTAAAAGAACTAGGATTCTCGCCAAGGAATGCCAAACGTGACAACGACACCAAATCATCTTCAAATCAAACTGAAGATAATGAAGGGGCCACGGAGAAAGACGACTACTACGAAGTAGACGAAATCGTAAGTCGGCGTCTCTCCAAGGACACCCTCGCATATGAGTACAAAGTAAGGTTCAAGGGCTATGGGGAAGAAGACGACACGTGGTTGCCATCATCTTTTTTTTTAACCGACCGATAACCTTCCAGTCAACATCCAAGTTTGGTAGGAAGAGGAAACATAAGCTAGATCCCGATATGGACCAAGAAACACACAATAAAAGAAAGAAACGTCAAAGCTCTTCTTTCGAAAAGGCCACTGCAAAACCCTCTAGAATGTCCAAGAAAATTACTAAGAACAGCAAAGACAAAGGAAAATCCTTTCGTTCAAGCTTGAAAACCCTTACAGCCGAAGAACAAAGCAACAATGAGAAAGCAAACGACGGTAACACACAATCAAGTGGGCGAAATCAAATCCCTAGATCGAATGTTCGAAGTTCTAATGAGGTTGCAACAGGGAACGAAACAAGACGCAATGTCATCAAGGAGGAGGGTTCCTTCACGCATGGGATAGAATCCTCAAATGTGTCATATGATACCACAAGTGCGGTGAAATCCCGTACCGCAAAGCTTTGTGAGATTGTTCACGTCGACCAGCTTTCCTCAGATGAAGAGTCAGGAACCGTGATGGGCATACTGAGAGACGTTGCTCGGCGTGATGACAACTTTTGCAATTCAAGGAGGACCCTTGGCTATGCAACCTTTCCCGATGTAGATGCAACGTTGCAGAGTTATCTGTGCTCCTCTGGTGAGCATGCCCGTGGAGTTAGCATAACAGATGCCCTGAGGTAACAAGACTACCGCCATATTCTTTAATCGAAGACGCAGAGAAGGATATTAAGGAAGAAGCAAGTTCCCAGATTCTTGTTCAATTTCCTTCCTACGGAACCTTCAACAAAGGGGCATCAATATCTTGAAGAGATTTCATCGACTGCGACAACTTCGTGGCGAAGTCCAATTTGAAGAGAAATGGCTGAAAAATGTTTTTCAAATATGAAAAACTGTATGAGAGATGATGTGACTCACGCCCTTCTAGACAGAGTGAACGAAGAGGAAAAATACCTGGTGTCCTATAAAAACTATAGGATAACGTCTCAGGAACTTTCAGTCATGTGTGGGGAGAGGTATCTTTCTGACGAAATCATCAATCTACTGATTCAAAGATACTGTGACTTAGCAAACGAGAAGAATCAGTCTTGTACTTTCATCCTTTTGCCATCCTTCCTTTCCGTTGGAGAAGTGTCAGGAAATTTGATTAGGAACATTTGTACCGTTGAAGACATGAATGAAGTAGAGGTAATGTTCCTTCCTGTCCACATGGCTGAATTGTGTCACTGGGGACTTGTCATATTTTCAGTGGGTGAGCAATCAGTGTTCTTCGACGACGGATATCATTGTCAAATATCACGAGATCTTCGATACAGAACAAACATTATTCTCTCTACGATTCACGAAAACACCGAGTTAGTTAAATTTAAACAGTGCGATTGGAAAGAAATTCAGCGATTCAAGGTCCCAATGCCAGACCAACCTAAAAGCTGGCTCCGGCAGTTGTGGTGTGGCCGTTATATGTGCCGTACGTGACATTTGCTCTGGAAATGACGACCACTTCACTTGGACATATCAAGATACATCATACCTGCGCGCCCAGTTAATGGTTGAGCTCGTTAATCTCGCATAAGCTGCCGCAAGTAGTACTTCGTTCCTGCTTCATATCAAAATAAGGGAAATCGCTTCACATGAATTCGAGCAAGAAACTTCTTCCGTGCTGGCACATATCTAGATATTACAATATGCACTTACTAGTCTATATACATTCGTCGCTTACCATAGAATGTGCTTTGCTAGCCACTGGTAATTGATTCTTATGTTCCGCATATTCATTATCAAGGATAGATCGTGCCTCGCGGGCAATTATCTTTGGGAACGCATTTATTTATTATTCTTTATCATCCTAGAATAGACTGTGCTTTCCTGGCATTTCATTTCGTCACTACTGCATAACTGTTCTTCATTACCAAGGATAGACTGCTCCTTCCTGGCAATTGTTATCATCTGGAATTTATAATTGGTCATTATAAGAAAGAATGGATTGTAGACTCCTGGCATTCCATATCTTCTGCACCGCATAATTGTTCTTCATCATCTAAGAATAGACTGTGCCCTTCTGGAATCTCATATTTTTGAACTGCATAATTATTTTTAATCTTCTACGTGGAATAGACTCTGCTCTTCTGATATTTGACATCTTCAACAGCCCATATGATTTTAATCGTTTCGAATAGACCCTGGCCAGTCCTCGGATTTGGTGTCGTTAAGAATAGACTGTACCTTTCTGGCATTTGATTTCTTCTGCACGGGATAATTGCTCTAAATCATCAAGTAAAGACTGTCTCTTCCCGGCATATGATATCTTCTGCACTGCATAATCATTCTTCATCGCAAGGGAAGACTGCACCTTCTCACCATTCTATTCCGTCAGCACCGCAGAATTGTTCTTTATCGTAAAGGATGGACAGTTTCTTCCTGGCATTTGATTCCGTCTACAAGCCATAATTATTCTTCATCACCTGAAAGTAGCACCAGAAATGTCATATCTTCTGAATTGCATAGTTGTTCATTACCATCAAGATTATACTAGGCTCTCCTGGCATTTCATATCTTCCGGATCGACCGCAACATTGTTCTTCATTGTCAGAGATAGTCTGTGGTTTCCTGGCGTTTCATTCCGTCTCTAATGCATAATTGGTCTTCATCATTTAAGAATAGACTGCCCTCTTACCATTTGATATCTTCTCGACGGCATATTTGTTCTTCAACGTCAAGGATAGACCGTTTCTATTATAATCGTCAAAAATGGACTGTGCCCTACTAGGATTTGGTATATTCTACACCGCATAATCATTTCAATCATGAATCCTTCCTGGCAATTGTTATCATCTGGAACTTTTAATTGTTCATCATTATCAAGAATAGACGATGCTCTATGCTCTCCTTGCATTTCATATCTTCCGCACCTCAAAACTGTTCTTCATTATCAAAGTTAGCTTCCTGGTATTTTATTCCGTCTGCGCCGCATAGTTATTGTTCATCATCTAAGAATAGACTGTACTTTTCTGGCATTTGTTATCTTCCGGACCGCAACATTGTTCTTCATTATCAAAGGTAGACTTTGCCTTTTGGCATTCGGTTTCGTCACCAGTGCATAATTGTTCTTCATCATCAAGAATAGACTGTTCCTTCCTGGCAATTTTTATCTTCTGGAACTTATAGTTTGTTCGTCATTATCAAGAATTGTCTACGCTCTCCAGGCATTTCATATCCCCGGACCGCATATTTGTTCTTCACCATCAAGGATAGACTGTGCCTTCCTGGCATTTGATTCCATCTACAACGCATAATTATCCTCAACCATCTCAAAATGACATGTGCTCTCCTGAAATTTTATATCTTCTGAACCGCATATCTTCTTCACCATGAAGGATAGAAGGCGCCTTCCTGGCATTTCATTCCGTCAGAACCGCATAATTGTTCTTTATTATCAAGGATAGACTGTGCCTTCATGGCGGTTGTTATCATCTGAAACTTATAATTGTTCCTCATTACCAAGAATAGTCTATGCTCTTCTCGCCTTTCATATCTTCGGGATCGACCGCACAATTGTTCTTCATTATCAAAGGTAGACTTTGCCTTCTTGGCATTTGATTCCCTCGGCACCGCATAATTGTTCTTCATCATCAAGGAGACAGTGCCTTCCTGGCAGTTGTTATCATCTGGAACTTATAATTGTTAGTCATTATCAAGAATAGACTATGCTTTGCTGGAATTTCATATCTTCCGGATCGACTGCAACATTGTTCATCATTATCAGAGGTAAACTGTGGTTTCCTGGCATTTCATTCTGTCTTCTCAACGGCATACTTGTTTTTTAAAGTCAAGGATAGACCGTTTCTTCCTGGCATTTCATCTCTTGGAACGGATAACTATTATAATAGTCAAGAATGGACTGTGCCCTACTAGGATTTGGTATTTTTCACACCGCATAATCATTTCATGTATGAAGACTTGATTGTGCCTTCCATTTGGTATCATCTGAACCACAAAATTTCTTCTAAGTAATCGTCAAGGGTAGACTTTGCCTGCCCGGCATTCGCGACTTCTTCGGCACGGCAGAATTGGTCCTCACCGTCAAGGATAGACTGTGCCTTTCTGGCATTTGATTTGGTCAGCAATGCGAAATTGATCATTATGGTCATTGATAGACTTTTGCCTGCCCGGCAATTGATTTCTTCAACACCGCATAATTGTTCTTCATCAACGGGTTTACCACCCTTGATTTTTTTGTGCACAACGCAATTGCTCTTCATCGTCAACTAAAGACTTGCCCCCTCGTCATTTGATTCTGTCAGCAGCGCATAAAGAAATATTTTTCGTCGTCAAGAATAGACTGTGTTTTCTGGGTATTGGATTTCTTCTGCACCGCATAACCGTTCTTCATCATTTTTTATGGACTGTGCTTCCCAACATATGATATCTTCAGCACCGCATAATTGTTCTTCGTCGCAAGGAAAGACAGTGCCTTCTCGCCAAAAAATAGTTCTGCATCGCAGAACTGTTATTCATCGTCAAGGATAAACTGCTCATTTGGTCAGCACTGCAAAATTGTTCATTATTGTCAATGATAGACTTTGCCTTCTCGGCATTTGATATCTTCTGTACCGCGTAACTGGTTTTCATCATCAAGTAAAGACTGTGCCTTCCCCCTATTTGATTTCTGATAGACTGCTCATTTGGTCAGCACTGCAAAATTGTTCATTATCGTCAATGATAGACTTTGCCTTCCGGCATTTAATATCTTCTGTACCGCGTAACTGGCTTTCATCATCAACTAAAGACTGTGCCTTTCCCTATTTGATTTCTTCTGCGTCGCATGTTGGTTCTTCATCTTCAAGGAAAGACTGTGACTTCCTGACATTTGATTCCGTAAGCACCGCATAGTTGCTGTCTTTCTGGCATTTGTTTCCGTCTTCACCGCTTATTTTTCTTCATCATGAAGGATAGACGTTCCGTGTTTTTTTGCTATATGATTTCTTATTCACCAAATATTATTTATATATTATAAGTAATTATAGACTTTGCATTCCTGGCATGGAGTTTCTACTGTTACTGAGAGGGTGTGTTCGAGACATCTGATTGGCGCTGGAAAGACAATGCCTTTGTTCTATTCCCTTTCTGTATCGGCTGAAATAATGAAACTGTTTTGGATACTGGAATGCGCGATGCGGTCATTTGATTTTGTCTGAAATGGATAGTGAGTTGTGCAAAATGTTAATCGAAATTTTCATTACTTTCTTGGTGACAGCGGAACGCGTAATTTTCGATAAAGTTTAGACCAATGAGCTGTTGGAAGTAGGGGGACAAAAAAAAGAAGAGTAAGTACGCGTTATACGTTTGGCGAATGTGCTCTCTAGACATTCTCTTAATGAATCCAGTCTCGTTACCAGTATTTGGAACCCTGGAAACGTGGTTGTTAGTGAGTCCTGGTGTTAGTCATTAGTTGGCGTTCAAATCAGGTGAACCAACTCTTAATTTATTCTTTACGGTCTCGCAATTTTGCTCTCATTTGGAGTGAAGTGAAGACGACTTGTATTCTCCTCAGACCAGTGTGAGCGTAGAAATGACATTTTTATCCCGCGTTAATGTGCACCGAAATCATAACGAGCGAGGAAAATGTCTTAAACACCACTAAGTTTTCCTTGAGATAGATTTTTCGTATCACCTGCATAAAACGGCTCAATTTATCTTCCTGGCTGGCTAAATGTCGGAATATTTTTGCTGGCAAAAAGAGAAGAAAGAGACATTCCTGGCTAGGAACATGCCTTTGGTAATAATCCTGGCTGGGAAAAGCCCTTAAGGTAAAGATCCTGGCTGGATATTGTACTTTAAAATCTAGCTCTAGCTGGCTTTGGGGAGCGGATATAATTTTGCCAGAGAAGTTAATAATCAACCAAAAAACAATTTGTGACTGTTAAAATATTACTGGGAGCGATATCCAATCACTTTTGAAATTTTTCTCGTTGGGTACTCCTGGTCTGACAATAAGTCATGACAATAAGTCATAGCGCGCTCCATAATCTTTGACACCAGGGGAAGAACTGAGATTAGTCGGTAATTATTGACATCGTTCCTTGCTCCTGATTTAAAAATAGGTGTTACTCTTTCATCCTTCCACTCAGCAGGAATAAGTCCTGTTGAACTAGTAAAGTCAAAAAAGCCAAGAATTGAACTTAAATAGCGCGTTCCATAATCTTTGACACCAGGGGAAGAACTGAGATTAGTCGATACCGGTAATTATTATTGACATCGTTCCTTGCTCCTGATTGAAAAATAGGTGTTACTCTTGCATCCTTCCACTCAGCAGGAATAAGTCCTGTTGAAATAGTAAGGTCAAAAAAGCCAAGAATTGAACTTGAATAGCGCGTTCATAATCTTTGACACCAGGGGAAGAACTGAGATTAGTCGGTAATTATTGACATCGTTCCTTGCTCCTGATTTAAAAATAGGTGTTACTCTTGCATCCTTTCCACTCAGCTGGAATAAGTCCTGTTGAAATAGTAAGGTTAACCAGATACGTGATCGGTTTAGCTATAACTGGAGCTGCATTCTTCAAAAGTCTTGCAGAAATACCATGATCAGGGCCCGAGGCTTTAGTCACCTTGCCAGTTAGACAGCTCCTTCTCAAACTCATTAATAATTCATCAAGTGATAAACCAATTGCGTGCCCGCATTTAGGTCACATGGGTGCACCTTGATACCGCGGTAAAGAGCAGCGTGTTTGGATATCCAAACACGTGTGTCTGGAAATCAGTTAGAAAAAGCAACACACAACTTAAACAAAGCTTTATTACTTCTCTTGTTTGCTGTTTGCATTTTCGTCTTTCATTTCTGCGTCTAAGCATCGACGAAAAATAGCGAACCTGAAAAGTAGTAAATCATAAATTTCGTAAACATTCTAAGTTTCTATATCACATAAAGCCACTAGATTAAAGTATAACTTCTCCAAACTTACCTCTTATGACTGCTGTCTAAAGGATTCAATACATTCCCTCCATTTACGTCCTCCAAATACCGCTCTAAGCCACAAACAATTCCATACAAGGAACGAGACGGATAGCGGCCACCGTTCTGATTAGCAACTTCTTGGACGAACTTTGTGAGCTAATAGTTTAGGGAAAGACTATCTAGGTCCTCCAACTTCTCTTCGAGACTTTGCACACGGTGAACATCATAATCTTTGAACACACTTCCCGCGTCAAGTATACAGAATTTTTGCTCGCGCGCTGCTTGCCAAGTTCTGAAAACCTCAACGGCCCACTTGTCTTTATACTGTGTACTTTTAGGCTTGGACTGTACAAGCAAAGAATCTTCTTCTTGCACACTTTTGAGCGGTCGACACCGGCAAGATTCATCCTCAGCTAACCCGTCCATGTTTCGGAACTAGCAGAACGCCACTGAATGCAAATTGTGACTACTTGAAATAAACAAGCTTCAGTTGTGAAAAACCCGGACATTATCATCACAAACTATGCGCTGATTAAACAAAAGAAGGCAAAAATCATATGCTTTATATGTGATTTTTGCTTTCTTTTGTTCTTTTGTTTTCTTGTTTTCTTTTGTTTGCAATTAGGCGCCGATTGAGAAGCCATTTCAAAAACTCGTGCTTCATGTTTTACCGGTGTTTCCAAACACTCGAAAACAATAAAAGCCCTTGGCCGTTTCATCAGTTTTCTCGTGTGTGGAAAACCCGGTAAAACAATCGCACTCGTTTATGAAATATTACCTCAAAACAAAGTTAGCTGACACCTTTTGAACAACAAAGTTGTGCGCAACTCTAGGAGTTAAAATATCGGGCAGCCTGGTCTTACTTTTGTAATGACCACATAGTTTCTCAACAACTGACGTGAAAGACTCATTAAAGCCTAGTGGCCGTTAAATTTTCAGAGGCTGGAGCATTCGCAGTTTTGTGTTGCTTCTTGTTTGGTATAAGCTCGCTCAGAGTTTTCCACAATTTACGCGAGTCCTGTTTTTCACATAGCTGATTTGAATAATATCTGGCTTTTTCCGTACGAAGTTTCATCGACACAGCGTTACGCAGCCTTTTGTAGCTGCTCCAGTGAAGCTCTTTGTTAGTTTTAATGCCTTTTTTGTGATGATAATCCCGCTTTTTCATCAAGTCCTTTATAGTAGGTGTGATCCACGGTAAAGATCTCCCGCGCACACGACGATTGACTACTGGAGCATTAGGGTTTTCCGATTTAGCGGAAGTTTTATTTTTGCTTATGCAAAATATCTGGCTCGTAAAAGGATAAATGGTAATTTTTTTTTTTTTAAACAAGAGGATTCATTTGCAGTATTTGCGTCTGGCAGTCGCATTTGGCCGATACGCGTACGGTGCAAATAAATTCACACTCGGTGCTAACGGTTTTTAAAAGTCGTTTAAGTAATGGTCCAGATAAGAAGGAAAGGACCGAAACGCAGTGAACACGTCGGTATGCAAAAAGGTGCTACCTTTACTATTGTCTCTACTATGGTTCTGATTGGTTTAAACATCAAATTTTACGAAATCTTCGCGAAACAGCATGTATATTAATCCCTTTTTTTCTATCCCACTTCCTTATAACAAATTCTCGTCTGAGTCTAAGGGCCTGTTTACATGGAGGTGAGGGACCCCAGGTAGGTGAGGTAACTCGCTTAGGTGGGGTAACCCGCCTGTCCATACAATCTCTCATTTTAATTTGATCACGTTTACATGATAGGTGGGGTGACCCGCCAAGGCGGGTAGCCCGGTCTACCAGACCGGGTTACCCTCTCAGCCGGGGTCAAATTTTGCCATGTAAACGTTTCAAGGTGGGGTAACCCGCCTGGTCGGGGTCGGATTCGTGATACATCAAATTCGCGCAAATTTCACTTTGGCGGTGGCTTTGCATCATTATTAAAGTGAACAATAGAAAGCCATTGTACTGAAGGTTGCAGCAAGAGCAACAAGGGAGTGTAGAAGTGCATTAATCGCCAAAACACGTGGTTTGCCAGCATTTTTCTTGTTTACGTGCCTAGCGACCATTCAATAATCTTGAGAAAGTGCACCCCGGGATGGCGGGGTTGTAAGATTGCATGTAAAGGAGGGTTACGTTTTTATCCCACATAAGCAGGTTACCTCACCTTCCTGGGGTCCCCCACCTCCATGTAAACAGGCCCTAAGTAACACAGAAATCGTATGTGCGGATCATGTAAAATTGTGAACATTTCTTGGCCATTGTTTGCAACTCTTGTGATTGGTCGAAATGTTTTAACACAAAAACACACCCTTTAAAAGTGGAGTTTAAATACATTTTCTTTCGTAAACTGCCTTTTTGTAGGTTTATGCATTCTCTGCGTAAAAATGAAAACATTTCTATGTGACGAAAGCCTATTGCGCCACAACAAAACAAATTGCTTCCCTTCTTACCTGGATCATTACTTAAAAGATAAAGCATATACGCTAACAAGGAAAAAAGTAAACAATCTGCTTTTGTTTGCTAGATGATAATTATCCTGGGCAGGGAGGGAATCTCTCACTATATCTGATTTTTCTCCATTAACCTGCGATCAGGCGGTCCTTAGATTTTCCCATTTTCTTTGGGAGGCCTGATCGCAGGTTATTTCTATATTTGCTACGTCATACGTGAATCGTTTTCATTGTGTCATCGAGTGCCATATAAATACGATAATTTATAAACAGAAAAGGAACAACATTGTATATCTCCTCTCCTACAAATTGGGAAAGACGTTGGGAAGTCTCCAGGCATCGTATCTTGCAATTTCGTCTACTTGTGGATATCTATTCGACTCTGTGCATTTTGTAGGTTAGGATGAGGGTTGAACACTATGGCAAAAGCTCAATAAATTAATACAAACGGCATAATGTGCAATCATAGTTATTGGTGCAATCCAACTAACTAAGCGAATGCAAATATTTTTTGACACTGGTGCGAAATTCCATGAGTTCCCACTAAGGTGCGGAATTGCAGAAGAAAGCCTCATAAGAAATGAATATCTCGTTGTTTCAAACAATTTCACCATGAAAAGCAGTTTTGACTGGCCTTAAGGAATATTCTACCCTAAAGGGTTTGATAACGTTATTACGAATTGACCAAAAAGCACTGTGTACATTTCAATTGTCGTTTTAGAAAGGTAAAGTAAAGTGGATCACACACAGATATTTCTCCAGTGGATGGATACAGTTATCCACCTTTCGCACAACTGGGTCATGTGCTTTAATTAGTCAGTACAGGTATACTGTGTAGTGATTGACATGGATACTTAAACGAGCTCCACCAGTTTTCTCTTTGGTTTTGTAAACTAGGTGGCTGAACTTTGAGAAAGTCATCAACGCTTTGCTTTCCAAGCCAGTTTATTACCTGAGTATAACAAAGCTACGGACCCATGCCAAGGAGAAGTGCTTCATCGATGATGAGGAAGAGTTTACTACTATGGTGAACTATCATGACCTGGGAACAATTATCAAGCACCGTAGCACAGTCATCTTGAGTACCCAGTGGCTGATAGACTTGTTCGGGCAGCTGATCACTATTCCAGATTTTACGAAAATGGTAAGAAACACAATTTAACGTGTTTTTAAACTTGCCATGTTTTATAACGGCACCCAGTTTGGATGACATCACGGGTGTCAAACCGTGCCGTGACAAATAAAAATGATTATGTCACGTGCATTGCACGCTGTCTTTCGTGTGTGTCATCAACACAATCTACCTTTAAACGAGTGCAATGGAAGTACATTGCATGACTTGTAGAATTATCCTCAAATGTAGTCTTAAAGGAACGTCTCTCAAAAAAAAGAGTGGAAAGATACATATACGTCTGCTGAAACCAGCGACTCTTTATGTCGACCAATCAGAACGCGCTTTTATAGTTTGTGGAAGTGAAATTTGGACCGTAAGAATTTTCCAGCGAGTAAACCAAATGGAGGATTCTGACATTTACGTGGCGCTTTAAAGAACATTCTATAGATTTAAAATCTGAGATCTGTTAAAAAGGTCTTTTTTCGCCCCCAGAGAGATTTATTCACAGTTGTACTTTCTAGGCAGTCTTTCGTAATTTCCATTTTATATGTGTCCTCACACAAATCCGCAAATTACAAGGAGGAAAGTTTTCCTTGAATGTTTACTTAAAATTTTAAGTAGTTTACTTCTTTTAGAGAACTTGCTAAAACTTATTAATATAACATTTAGAAATGTAAAATGATCCTGGAAGAAAGCTATTTTGAATAGTTTTGTGATCATTCAATCAATCAAATCAATCAATCAATCAATCAATCTTTATTCCTCCTAAGATAAAAAGACATATCTTAAGTTACATCAGCAGTTGGGAGTCTAAAAATACATAAGACATACTGTATACAAATAATAGAAAGATCAAAGATTATATCTAAAAATAAGCCTATTTACAAAAACATTCTCAAATGTATCAGTCTTTATATCCGGGCGATGAGCACCTTTGTTTCTGAGTTGATACTTTGTTTCTTACTTCTTCGGAATGATGTTACTAAGCTGGCAATCGGGATCCACTGAACGTACCTTGAAAAGATTTTTATCTGCCTTTTCTAAAAGTTCTCGGATGTCCATTCTCTTAGATGTGTATTTCCTTTTAAAGCATCTATCCAGAAAGTTTTGTATGACCGTTAGATCTGAGTCTACAGACCATAAGTGAAATTCGGTAAAACTAAGGCGCTAAATAGGTGGTCTACTTCACCTTGACTGAAACCTTCCTTCCGTAAAGATCTTAATACAAACAGACACTTACAGTATTTGCCTTAATCAACTTAGCACGTACGTGTTCGCTATAATTACAATTCTCTTGAAACGTAACACCTAAAATGAGCAGCGAATGTTATTAACTTGCACAATATCCTGAATAAGACAATTTCTTTACATTCCTCTTGTTATTCCGTCTTAGGTCCCTAAGTTTGCAAAGCACTGGAAGGACGTCGAAGAAAGCGGTGTTCTCAGCATGGAACTGCTTGATCATGTGTTTTCCAAATTTCTTCTGGACGGCGTTGCCAGGAAAGACATTCTGGATTTGATGGAACAATTTGGATTGATTGCAAAATTTTCATCTTCAAAGACAGGTGAAAAGTATTTTGTTCCATCTCAACTCAAAGCGTCACCTGATTCCCATTGTTCCGTGGTGCCCACAAGGCTGGACCCTTGTCCTCTATATGTTTACTTCGTCAGCGGCTCTGTTCCCCATAGTCTGTTCACACGGCTTGTTTCTCGATCTGTCCGTTGGTGTTCTGAGGCTGGTCCAACTCAGCCCCCTACCCTGTACCAAAATGGAGCGTGGTTTGTTATTGAGAAGAAAACTGTCCATGATTTTGTTCTTATTTGTAAGAAGCAGGCCCCGGTTGTTCCAACGTCAGATAGCGCTATCCACCGGATAAATCACTATCCAGTGGATAGCGTAATTGATTTCTGTAATACTTATCCGCTGGATAGTGATTTATCCGGTGGATAGCGCTATCCAACGTTTGAACAACCGGGGCCAGTTTATTAAGTTCTTTATCAAGCAAAGAAACCTCCCTCAGCAGATCTCTGTGGATGACACAAGTGAGGTGGCGGTGCAGGTTCGTGCGTTTGTGGAGGCAACTTTGCAAGCTTTGTCACGTGATCTCTATAAAGGTGGACTGCAGTATCATATTCGGGTCGCCTGTCCGTATTGTCAGCGGGAAAAATGCTCAAGTCATAATCAGATTGCATGTTCTCATGAAGATTGTCTTCACCTCCTTGAGGTAAGACAAGGCGTTCATCTGATTTGCAAAAAGAAACCTACAGATGAAGTACTCACAGTCCTAGGAAAGCAAAAATGGTTCTCACAGACACCAAGTGAGGTCGGTAGCACTGAAATCTCATCTCTATCAGTGCTGTTAGCATGTTACATATAAATGGAACGTTACCGTAAAATTCCGAAAATAAGCCTCTCCATGTGTAAGCCCCTCCAAATATAATCCCCCAAACTCGTAGTTAAAACCCCCCATTAAATCGCCGCACCAGAATATAAGTCCCCGGGGGTTTGTACTTTGAAATTGCCCTCAAATACAAAATAAAACAAATTAAAAACGGTACAGTAACACATAATGTTTTTAATTTGCCAAAGAACTATTCCTCGTGCCAAATGATTGCAAACAAGAAGTGTCACAGTGTATTGCTGTTTGCGTAGTTCACTCTTGGCTTGAATTTCTTCGATCCATATAGCCAAAGTACTCGCATGGCAGGGTTTTAGAAAGACCCAGGTCCCCTTGGCGAGTTTCAGTAAAACCTTAGTGCAAATTACTGACATAATTTTTTTTCCAACTCTAATCTGGCCCAGTCGATTTTGAGACACAAATGTCCCTCCCATTTCCCTCCGTATATAAGCCCCTCAAAAAGGGCCTTTGAAAAAATATAAGCCTGGGGGCTTATTTTCGGACTTTTACGGCATAATACTACTAAATTGATATTATGCTACTGAAAGGCTAGTCATTTATTTATACTTAAAAAGCTTCAACAAAGTTTGTGTGTGTCATTATTAGGTTGTAATAATGTACAACGTAGGCCTTCATTTAACCTATCACAAGTCTGTCGCTGGATAAAAAGAAGCAAGCAATAGTTCTTAACATCAAGTAATTTGATAAGGTCAGTTGGTTACCATATATGACTCAAAATTCTATTCAAGTTCTTTTAGCACTTTGCCCGACAAATGGCTAGCCTTGAACTGAGAATCTCTTTACGGTGGCCAATCAACATCATCAACTCTGTTGTTAAATACCTACTGCAGCCGTAGCAGTGGGTATTCATAACAATTTCTCAAGTCTTTCTTAACAAGCTGTTTGCTTTACAGTTAAACGATAAGTTTATAGCTTCTAACTGGATGATAACATGTTTTGCAAACTTTCTTTCAAAGCGGTAAACACACCAGGTGTACACTTTCTAATTTAAAATATGCCATTTTGGTTTCTGTACAGGACGTGTGTACTCCATCATCACCACCACCATCATCATCATCATCTGATGCTGAACAAGGTCATTCAGAACGGTTAATATTGAAAGTTACTCTCCTGGCGAACGAATGGGGATCGTCTAGGGGTGGTTTGTCAACAATAAACAGAACTCTTGCCATACATTTGGCAAAAGACCCACACGTAGAAGTGACCATTCTTGTACCTGAATTTGAGTGTGGAGAAAAAGACAAGAGAGAGGCCAAAAGTTACAATATCTCCATTATAGAAGCAGGGAATCTTCCTGGCTTCAGTGATCCTCTTGATTGGTTGATCGTTCCACCAGAGGACCTTGACATTCAGGTTGTGATCGGCCATGGAGCAAAGCTTGGCAAACAAGCGCAAATTATCACAAAATCTCATCGATGCAATTGGGTGCAGGTTGTTCACACTGAGCCTGAAGAGCTGGCGATGCATAAGAACTATCCAAGTGCCATTGCCAAGGGAGAAGAGAAGAACACAGCTGAAGTTGAACTTTGTCAAAATGCAGACCTCGTTATAGCCGTTGGACCTAAGTTAAAAGAAGCGTTCTCCTGCAAGTTGCGTTTATATCATCAAGATATCTTTCAACTAATACCCGGTTCCTTTGCAGAGTTTTCAGATATTAAACATCCTGCACATGATGGTGTAAATTTCAGAGTATTGAGCTTCGGTCGCGGTGATTTGGAAGACTTTAGTCTTAAAGGATACGACATTGCCGCTAAATCCATAGTTGAAATGAAGGACAGTTCCTATATTCTGATTTTCGTTGGTGCATCCCAGGGAAGGCAGGATGAAGTTGCAGAAAACTTACTCCAGACTGGCATTTCAAAGAACCAGCTGATTGTGAAATCATTTGTGACAGACAAACAAAAATTGAGAGAATTGTTTTGTGCTGTCGATCTGGCCATCATGCCATCAAGAACTGAGGGGTTTGGTTTGACAGCATTGGAGGCCATGTCAGCTGGTCTTCCCATTCTGGTTAGTGGAAACTCCGCATATGGAAAAACACTGCGTAAACTTCCAATGGGTGAGTCATTTGTGATCGACTCTGATGACCCCAAGGAATGGGCAAAAGCAATTGCAGCCATCCGTCAAAAATCAAGGACACAGCGGCTTGAGGAAATCCAAAGACTGCGAAGAAGTTATGATGAAAGATTCTCTTGGGAGAGACAGTGCCAGGCCGTTGTGGCCAGAATGTGGAAGATGGTCTATGGTAAGAAATCAAATTATATATGTCTATTGCTTCTTCAATAGCGAGTGCATAAATACATTTTTACTATATTAATTAAATTATGTATCGTGGTCCATGTGCATCGCTGAAGAAATATTGCCGTTGACCTTTTTAACCTTAAGGGTGGCACATTCTCATTCCCATTCACATTCTCCACACCGTTCTCCGTAAACTTCTTGTGTTACTGATAAATTCCATTTTTAAGACATTTATTTATAATTTTACAACATGTTGGCTACACTTAAAGGAGTTAGCGATACATGAAAATTAAAATCCATAACATTACGGTACATCAAAGTCATTTGATTTCTATTCATATGCAGTAGCAATGGTGGTGTTCTCTTGTATATAAAAAAGAACGTAGCAAAAAAAGACTAGCTAACGTTTTGGCTTATAATTTGTCACAAAAAATAGAAGGGGGGCTTCTGAGGTTGAAATCTTTTTTTTTTTTATAAGAGTGACATTTTTTTCTGTAAATCATCGCTTTTTATAACTTTACAGGTCTTGGAAAAACCAAAGATGATGACGTTTCACAGAACGACTGTGAAAAGGACACTTCAACAGAACCGATAGCAGGTAATGTCATTGTCTGCTTTGTCAGTTGAACCAAAGACAAAATTTATTTTTCCAGCGGAGTGAGGTTTTTTTCTTCTGTTGAACCAGGGTACTTTCGATTATTGGGGTGTATCTCCAAGTAAACTGACGTAAACTAACTGTTTCCCTCTCCTGATTACAGGCCAAACCATTTAAATTCACTGCTAATTTTAAACTTTACAGGTGTTGAAAAAACCCAAGAGGTTGACGTTCCACAGAATGACTTTGAAAAGGATGCTGCATCAGGACCGATAGCAGGTAATGCTATTGTTTGCTTTGAGAATCAAACCAAAGCCAAAATATATTTTTGCAGTAGAGTGAAGTTATTTTGTTCTTTGGAGACCACATTAATTTTTACTTAAATTGTCTGCTGTTTTGAGCTTCAGACCAGTGCACCATCTCCTATTAAACTGGAATGAAATAACCCCTATCTTATGTTATTTTTTTTTCATCATCCGTTTACAGGCGAACCCTTTTTTATTGCACTTCAACAAATCATACGTGAAGCACGCATAGAGTCCAACAAAACTGAGCTGTCGCAGGCTTTGAAGAAGACTGCGTTGGTAAAAGGTTTTGCAATTTCTGACAATCAAGGAGGGGGAAACTGCATGTTTTTTGCACTTTCAGAACAGCTTGACCTTATCAAAGGAATCAAAATATCCCATGATGAGTTACGCCGAACTATTGTTCAACACCTTCGGGAAAACCCTAAGCTGGTAAGTGCCTTATCCTCTTTTATTATTTTTAGAGTGGACATTTTTGCAGTATATGCTTGTGGCCCGTCACATAATAGTAAACAATTTAATAGTGAACATCTCTTTCCCTCCTCTCTCTTACACGTGGAACGGACACCTCCCTAAAACCTCCTAAACCTACTCCGCCTCCCTAAAAGTGTTGGTCTCTGCCGTTCTGAACGGTTTTTTCTTTTTACATTTTTAAGGAGAATAGTATAGGGTGCACAGGTTAGACCGCTTTTTTGTAGTGTAATCTCATTAAAATGAAGTGGAATAAATAATTATTATATAACTTGTAGGGATCATGCCCCTATATTGACATAGATTAGTCCAAATTGTATGTGTCATGTCTTTATTTGGTCATGAAGACACCTGTGACTTAAAATCACTGAACCACGATGCCCTCATTGTCCATTGCAGACATCTCAGGTTGTCTTCACACTATACGGTATAGCTTTCTCGCCGGCACGAAAATCATACCGGATAGGGCTTTAGTTCACACATAAGAACGGTGATTTCGGCGCGATTTCTTTAACACGTCGATGCAGCTGTCTCTTTCGTAAACGGTCGCTGCAATTTTTTAGACACTAAGAAAATTTTTGATCTGTTATTGAGAATGTTTCTATAAAAAAGCCGAAAGAAAATCGCAACCCAAGGTAAAACCCGGACCTTTCGTGTCCTAATCTCTCTCCCTTACCACTAGATTACCCCACCGACCCGCCAAAATACTGAAAAAAAATTAAGTACATACACTAACAAACTGTCTTTCTTAACTGTTACATCAATAGCAGGTGACCCTAGCCCTTTCCATAAATTTTAACGAAAATTAAACGTAGCTGCAACGCCGTTTTCTAGCATTATTCAAAAACGTATTATTTGCCTTTTTGTAACTAAATGCAGGGAGTATATTACATCTATCACGACTAAAGGCTTGGTTACTAATGGTGGCATCGACCGTTAAAAATGGAAAAGACTGATTACGAAAGGGAATGAGGCCGTGGCGATCTCTAAAGTGGAGAGTCACATATCGGATAGATGTTCACGCTATACTGGATGGCTTTTCGTGTCGTCACCAAAGGTTATCTGGTATAGTATGATCATAGCTTTATTGTTCTGGTTCCGGTTCACTGATTCTTGGTGCGCAAAGGAGATAAAGACGTCGTCGACGTTAATATATTCCACTTCAAAAAAAGACGTCTACCTGGTGTGTCCTTAATACCTACTGAAGTGGACATATTATTTCTAGTGCCGATACTAATGGTGTCGTCTTAGAGAGAGCTGACAGCGCAGCTGCCTGAACATATACCTTCTACAAAAGCACTCTACCTTTTTCTCTATTAACTACAGTATTTTCTTTCTTACAGCCGGATGGGACAGAACTGTTTCATTTTGTTGATGGATATCCATCTTGGGATGCCTACCTCACAAGTATGATGGCAGATGGTGCATGGGGTGATCACGTTGTTCTACACGGCGCGGCAAACTGTTTTCGAACGTGCATCTATGTGATTAGCAGTCTTCCACATCGCTATGACGTAATGGTCTGCCCAGAGTTTGATGTTACTGGTAGCAACCGGCTTGTGCTGGGTCACCTGCACGAGCTTCACTATGTTAGCCTTATTCCACAGAAAGGAGGTAAAGATGTCTGATTATACTGCGATACAAGAGTTACGACCTTGCAATATTAAATAGAAGACATTTGAGTGGAACAACTGACTGAAGCATTATTGTGGTACCTTATTTGAAGGATGTTGGCCAGAAACAAGACGTCTATTTTTTCACATGTACAGTTTTTAATCCGCCAATTTTCTTATGACGGCACAATTAGCCGTTTCAATAGACTTAGTATTCATAACAAAATATTTTCCGCCTAAAAATATTCATACGGTCCCCTCAATTTCTTAGATAAATTACTGTAGTGTTCTTAATAGAACTTGGTTTTCAGGGCCAGCACCTTGCCTGCAGTCCCCTGTAAATACTCCACCATTAGAGCCTGTTGTTGTAAAAATCCTTGGAAGATACGCGTACTAATGATTACCTAGTTTCTCTCTCTTTGAATCATGTCGATGATGATTATTACTATGACTGTAGCGTGTGAACACTCGGTTTTAACGTCTGTCAGTATACAGGTCAAAAAGATTATTTTAGCAATTTCATTAGCATTTAGAGGTTAAGAACAATTTTTTCTCCAGCTGTTCCTTGGCTGCAGTCTCTGAAAATATTCAGTGTCAGTTTCCGTACTGAGTTAGCCTGCGAAAACATCCGTTTCTCCTCGCTCTTCGCCGCTGGGGACGTTTCGCGAGGAGGAACGTCTGCGACTCAGCGACAGAATTTCCATACTGATGACGTAAAATCTGTCCGGAATCCGGTCAGAAGCGCTGATTGGTCGACGGAGTAGTTGCATTGTTTTAGCTATTGATTACGACCAGGGACCGCGCAGCAAGTTTTCGAGTGGGGGGGCTAAAGAAGAATGCGTGAAGGGAAATGTTTTTTTGGGGGGGGGGGGGGGGGGCATGCTTGTGGATTTCTATTCAATTTCTCTAAAGCGACGGAGAATGCGAATAACGATAAAACTATTGATTTTTTTCCACATCTTCAGTGATGTTGCTATCGGGTCTGAAAATTCACCATCACTAAATTGAAATATCATAGATTGTTATGTTATACTACTGATATCAACCTTTAATTACTATAAACAAGCCAGAAATCCAACGATTTTGCTTGAGCTGCCTTGAACTCAAGGCTGTATAATTACTGAGCAATTATTGCCCGAGGCTGAGTATGATATGAAGAGTTATGCAGATCGAGGGGGTTATCCGCCAAAGCCGAAGGCTTGAGCCCGGTGGACAACACCCTCCGAGATCTGTATATCTTCATATCATACGACAGCCGAGTTCAATAATTGTTTAATTATTCATTGAAAATATTTACACGGCAAAACAAAACGGTAACTGAAAATAATTTAGTGAATGAAAATTCAATTATAGAACAGATTCAGAAAAAAGTAGCAAAAATTGTGCAGATGTTACTCACCAGATAAAGAAGGTTTTCCATTTTGTTTGGAAAAGTAATCAGAAATTTAAAGAGATCTCTTCTTTGCATTACTAGTGGTATGTGACGTCTCGTCGTTCGTATTTATGTTGCCGTGTACCATGTGCACTTCTTTGTTCGTAATAACCGCCGGATTGAATGTTCCTTGATGACCAGAGCTATACACAATTCTGCGGTTTAAGTACTTTCGATGACAAAATGTTTTTATAAACAGACCGCGTTCAACAAAACGTGCAATTGGAATGCTCAACGAGCCGTGAAGCCTGACATCAAAAGACGGACTTCGTGCTGATCGAGCTAAAATCAGGACGCACAATAACAAGAGAAACAATAACTTCATGATCTTCCAAAAATCAAGGTTGAAACTAATAAACAATTTGTTTGAGAATCGCCTTATAAACTAAACCCAGTTATTACTTTGGATCGAAATTGACCAATTACGAAACAACGCGTTTTCCTGAGAGGTCCGCAGGAAAAAGAAGCCATTTAAAAGACGTTTACCTCTGCTAGGTTAGAAGCGAAAAAATATTTTACAATTGTAACGACTAATGCTTCATTCTGGCTATTTATCTGCGCGTTTGTCTTTGCCAGTAACTCTGGTCACTTTCGAATTAACGATTTTTTGCTATTTTTCACTCCGTTACTTTTGTTAAATTATTTTTTGTTTAATTTATTTTTATTCTTGCAAAAAAGTGGGGGGGCTAAAGCCCCCCCAGCCCCTCCCTCTGCGCGGTCCCTGTTAACGAACGACAGACAAAAGACAAAAGGCCACAAAGGTCAAATGTAAACGCGAAGAATCTCTAACAAAACAGTCAATATTTGTGGAATATAGTCTTCTCTAGAAGACGTATTTGAGTTTTGCTGGAGCTCGTTGGCAGATGAACACAGCACTTTACCAAAACGGACCAGAAGACACACAAAACTGGACAAATTTATATTTGGCACCCCATGACTAACGGATTTATTATGTAAACATTGATTTGCGTCATCGGTATGGAATTTCTGCCGCTCAGTCGCAGACATTCCTCCGCGCGAAACGTCCCCATCGCCGAAGAGCGAGGAGAAACGGATGTTTTCGCAGGCTAGTATTGAGTAGAACTTGTTCATATAGGATCAATCCTTTTTTAAGATATTCCTTACCACAGAACTTAGTCAAAGACTTTTCCAATCGAGTTTGTTCTTTGAGAATTGTTCCTGTTTCTGGTGCGCTTTTATCAATCTGTAAATACTTTCAGCCATTAGAACTACAGTCAGCCATATTCGAGATCGGTCGTGACTAGAATGGATACTCCAAAATCAGGTATCCGCTCGGAGACTGGAACTGAATAAAATTATTTTTCGGCAAATCGCTCCGACTCTTTACGACCTTGTTGTGTTGAAAGACTAAGTATACAAAGACTGAAGAAGGCCAAGATGAGAATGGTTACTACAAAATATGGATCAAAGCCGACATAGAGGTTAGTTGTTTTTCACGTTCTTTTTGTAAGAATTTAGTGCAAGGAGCAAACAATGTCTGTTTAATTACAGTACCACCACCGCGACTGCCGTGTAAAGCGAAGTATCTGTTTGGATAGCTCAGAATAAGGTGGATACTTCAGAATAAGAATGGCCAAAATATGGAAGTTTTGGCCATCTGGATTATTATTACTGAACTTCCCAATATAAAATTGATTGTTACTTTTACAAAGAGGGTACAAATACAGTCAACCATCGTGTAATTATGGCTCAGTTAATTCGAAGCTTGCTTATAGGATAGCAGCCCGGTGTAGGGGGGGGTACTCGAGCAATATTTGGGTGTAGGTGAGCCGCTGAGGGTTTGAAACCCATACCCTGTTTAGGATAACACCCTCAACTTTAGTACCCAGATAGGACAATTAACGCCCTCAGATGGGGACAAGGTTATCAAGCACACCTGTCAACTTGTACTTATCTTATTTAGACAAGGGTGCCAAGAACAATAACATTTATATTTATTCCAGTAAATGCTTTGGGTGATGACGTACTAAATATCTGCAAACATTTGCACTAAGACAAAATCGATCATGCATGAAATACCCTGTTTATAATTAGAACAGACTCGCACAAATCATGCACACTGTTTAGGACAGACTTGCAGGAAATTGTATATCCTGTTTAGGACAGACTTGTGCCAAACTATATACCCTGTTCAGCACAGAGAGGACAAAAACCATACCCTGTCCAGCGGCACATCCCCATGGAGGCCATATAAGGGAGTACCCCCAGGGATAGCAGACAGTTGTTGAATTTATGGCTCAACATAAACTGTTTCTGTTTTCTTATATAATTTATTATGGTTGATTTTTTTTCACTTTTAAGTGGTAAGTTGCTGTTTAGTTTAGTGTGAGAAGAATGGGTACTTTATGAGATTATAAAAACCAAAGTGACCCTCACAACCTGTGGGATACTCGGGTCAACCTTTTGGTGCGCTGGGTATCTGGCACAATTAGCCAACCAGAACCCAAATCCTTTTACAGTCTTTTCTATGACCAAAAGGTCCAATGTTAGCTACTTTTGGCAAATGTAAACTATGTTATTCCAAGTTAGTCATTTTGTATTCCTGAATCTGCTGTGTGAACCTTTGTAATTTCCAGTCACATTGAAGGTGTTGAAAATGCAGCCCCTTTATTGTCCATCCTGTCATGAAATGTTGCCCCATCCACAGGTAGCCCAAACTCTGAAGGAGTTTGTTGGACTTTGAATTTATAAGAGAATGTATGACAATAAACAAAATACGTCCTAAATTCCATTTTTTGACAAAAATAGAAATGAGAATGACTTACCTTGTGTTTTTGTTTTGTTAAGCTAAAATGGCGTGGATATACCCTACTTCAATAATTATTATTTATTTATCAGTATTTTGGTTATTCATTTTGATATTAGGCAGGTACCACAAGGAAATGCTTTGGTTGTTCCTTTTTAATTTAGATGATAGATAACTTTGTAGGTGATAATTATTTGTAATGCACTGAACTGGGGGCCTTTCTCTGCTACCAAAAGAAAATCTTTCACTTTTAAAACAAAAGGGTCAAGGCTTCTTTGCTGAATCAAGGCACTGTATCGTGGAACACAGTGCTTTTTAGAATTACCACCAAAGTAGCAGCTTTATTTCCTGAAAGAATGATTATAATGGAAGCTTTATTTAATGCACGGCTAATATCTTTTTTCAGGTGACTTTCCACCCCAGGTATAGAGGGTACATAAATGCACATTGTGGAAGTGGAGAAAGAGTAAGAGGAAAGTAAAACAGAGGAAAGAATTATGGGAAAAGGAAGAAATGAAAAAATGGTTGTAGAATTGTAAACAAACAACTTTATTTTTATAAAAGTAATAAATAATTTTTTGTACACATTTTATCAAATTCTTAGAGTGGTTTGTTTGTGGTTTTGAGAATTTTATTAACCAAATGGTCAAGCTACCCAGACATGCAACTGAGCAGCAACTGCTTGGCCTCAATGAAAATTGTTTTTTTTTCCTGTTTTCTTTTCTTTTTTTCATTTTATTTGCTATTTCTCTTGAAGCCTTCTCCAATTTTCTTCATTTCTTCATTTCTTTCTCCAACTGGTTTCTCTGTTCCTCACAAGCATTTGACTGCAACACCCTCCGGACCTCCAACTCCTCCTCCTCCTGTTACAGCTGCAACATGGATATATGTTGTAGTTAATTTTTATTTTTCCATTGTTTTTGGGTATGGTAATGTATGCTATTGCTAATGATTTTGAAACAAAGGAAAAACAAAAATTACCTGAAATAAAAATATTAACTGCAACATATACCTGCATGATCATTTTTATTCCAT